AGGAAGACCCCCAACGAGATGGATCAGCCAGGTGGCATCATTGATGGACTCAAGTGTGGCAGCGGTAGTGAGGTTGGCCCAGGATCGAACATTGTTTCCTTCTGCTGTGCATGGGGTCGCTATGAGTTGGTTCCGACTCGATGGCACCTGACAACAACAACAACATTTTTGTGAAGAGTCTTGGTGTGGCACTGTGGGTTAATGTGCTGGACTGCAGAGTCGTTTTGAATCGCAACTTTGGCAGTTCAAGCTCACCAGCTGCTCCTAGGGAATCTTGTACAGGGTCACGGTGGGTCAGAACCAACTCTATACCACATACACAAAATTTGTGAAGCAATTGGGAGTAGATTTTGTTTTTAGTAACTTCTCCCTAACAAGTCAGGTATCAAAGTTATCTTCCAGTAAAAAGAGTTATTTTTTGTGAAGGAAATTGTGCTGTTAAGAAATAAAGTGTTCTCATATAGTTTTTTCCTCAGAAAAGCTCACTGGATCTTTAGCTGTCTATTCAAGTTTGATGTACAGGATGATTGGTCATTGTGGATAAGAAGAATCCATTTACCCGCAATGCCACAGAAGTGTGGTGGAGGGTGGGCAGGATATCACCAGAACTGGGTGAGGTCACTGTAGAGGCCTTTTCTGTCCTTTCCAGGCCCTCTTTCCCTCCTCTAGATACAGGAAGTTTGACTTCTGTGAGCATGAGAACCCCCCACCCCCACCCACCCAGGACGTGTGTTATTGAGAGATGTGAAATTCTGGCAGGGCACGCTCCAGAACTACTCAGGAAAGAAAGGGAGTGTGCTCTCCCACGGTCTCTTTATATGCCCTTAGTTAGCCTCCAAGGGCTACTTGGCGAAAATGAGGAGCCCAAAAATAAAAACAAAGACTTTTTTGTGGTTCATGAAGTCTGGGTGCCAGCAGCTTTACTTACTTTCTCTGCTGCTCCTGTGAATCCAGGGACAAATGAGGCTCACATGGTTAAAAAAAAAAAAAAAAAAAGACTCCTGTAAGCAAAGACACTTTCCTCAGCAGCCCTGAGACTGGGTGACTTGAGCGATTCCTTGCCCTTCCTTACACAGTCCTTGTTCTGTCTGAGCAAAGCCCCAAATGCTCCTCCCACCCTTTGCTTCATGAAGAAGCCAAGCCCCTTTTGTAATCTGTTTAAGGTCTGCTGCCCAGGAAGAAGGACAGCAGAAGCTAGCTACCTCCTCTCTTCTGGAGACTAAGGTAAACTGCCCAAAAGGTGTCCTCAGAATCTGCTTCTGCTTGAGGGTTGGAAAGGAGCAAGTCAGGGTGAGTGAGACTAGCAAAGGGAAAACTTGATCCAGGTAAACATCACCAAGGGCAAGAGCTGGGGTCGGGGTGGAAAATTTGGAAGCATTGAGAAGCCGGAGCTTCCAAGTTAGTGGAGAGATGCATATCTCTTTGGACTACAAGTGAACTCTTTTATAAATACTGGGCTGAGGTTTCCTTGTGTTAGAGAACAAGGCTCTCTCTACCATAATCCTGGATATCGTGATGGTGCCTCAGAGATACAATTTCACTTCGTTTATTCAAAATGATCATCTAATGAATCATTTGAGCACTGGGTACAATTGTTTATTTTTAAAATGTATTTTAGAACACAGAAACTCCAGGTCCAGACAGAGTTGTCAGAATTTTATGTCACCCCCTGTGTTTTTGTTAGTCCTGTGAAGCAGTGTCAGGTTTTGGTAAGGCACCAGGGAAAGAAGTTCTGGTATTGTGCCATACGATAAGCACTTGACCTCTAGGTCAGTTTGAGCTGCATGGTCGGTGGTTCAAACCCATCAGCCATTCCTCAGAAACCCTATACAGGGTGGACATGAGTTGACACTGACATGACAACACTTAACACCAACAACAGAGGGGAAAGCTTTTCTCCAGCTTGTTGTTGTTGTTGTTGCTGTTGAGTCGATTATGACTCGTGGTGACCTGTGTGTGCAGCGTAGAGGTGTTCCATGGACTTTTCAAGGTTGTAACCTCTAGAAAGCATATTGACAGGTCTGTCTTCTAAGGTGCCCCTGGGTGGGTTCAAATCATCAATTTTTCTGTTAGTAGTTAGGAGCTTAATTATTTGTGCCACCCAGGGGGTCTTTCTCTAGTTGTTGTTGGTGTGTGCTGTGGAGTCTGTTCACACTCATAACCCTGTATGGGGTTTCTGAGAGTGGCTGGTAGGTTTTAACCGCTGACCTTGCTGTTACCATCCAGTGCTTATCCTAAAGAATGACACTAGGGTCGTTTCTCTAGTTTTGTTGTTGTTAAGTGCTTTGAGTCAGTTCCCATTCATAGCAACTCAGTATAGGGTTTCCAAGGGGTGGCCTATAAGTTTGAACCACTGACCTTGCAACTCAAACTGATTTGCAATCCAGTGCGTATCCTACAGCATTCTAGCTAGTGGGAGTAAAATGCTCTTTAAGAGTATATTTTTACTTGGAAAAATCTCTCAGGAAGAGGCACTTCTCTCTGGCTGGCTGAAAAGTGAGGCTGTAAGCCAGGAAACCCACAGGTGGAAGCTGAGGTTCTTTCTAAGGGGATGTTTCCCCATCTCTCTCTCTTTTCTGGACAGGCTCGTCTAGGTGAGTGAGGTTACCATGGCTCTGGAGAAGTCCTATGTCCTGTTCCCACTGTTAACCCTGATACTTCTGGTGTTGGGGTGGGCCCAGCCTTCCCTGGGCAAGGAGTCCCCAGCTATGAAGTTCCAGCGACAACACATAGATTCAGACAGCCCTCCCAGCATCGACTCCAGTTACTGCAATCAAATGATGAGGCGCCGGAATATGACAAAGGGCTGGTGCAAGCCAGTAAACACCTTTGTGCATGAACCCCTGGTGGATGTGCAGGCTGTCTGTCTCCAGGGGAACATCACCTGCAAGAATGGGCAATCCAACTGCCACCAGAGCAGTTCAGCCATGCACATCACAGACTGTCGCTTGACCAATGGCTCCAAGTATCCCAACTGTGCATACCGGGCCACCAACAAGATGAGACACATCATCATTGCCTGTGAGGGGAAGCCATATGTGCCTGTCCACTTCGATGCTTCTGTGGAAGTCTCTTCCTGAAGCCAGAGCAGAGGTGCCCCCATCACCTCATGACCGTGATACCTGGGTCACACACACACATGGGTGTGAGTCCCTCCCCTACATGGTTTCTATGGGGAGGTGTGGGTAGTGAGGTGGGTCCCATATGTTAACCCTTTCACAGCTTCTCTTAATAAAACATAGTTGCAATCACTTGGATTCTTGAAGCTGTCTCCTTTCAGACACTTTTTCTGTGATTGTTTTCCTGCTATGGGTTGTTATTTTTGTTGTTGCTGTTAAGTGTCATCAAGTGGTTCTGACTCATAGCAACCCTGTATAGGGTTTCCAAGGCTTGTAAGTCTTTGCAGGAGTAGAAAGTCTCATCTTTCTCCTACAGAGCAGCTGGTGAGCTCAAACTGCTTACCATATGGTTAGCAGTCCAGTGCTTATCCTAAAGAACCGTGGTACTCCCCTGCAATGGGTGGTGGTGGTAGTGATGTGCTATGGAGTCATTTCTGACTCATACTGACCCTGTATAGGGTTTCTGAGGCTGTACATCTCTACAGGATCAGAAAGCCTCATCTTTCTCCCTTGGAATTATTGGTAGGGTTGAACTGCTGACATTTTGGTTAGCAACCCAGCTCGTAATTTGCTATGCTGTCAGGGCTCCTTCCTCAGAGTAAGAACTGTAAATTAAATCTTGTGACTAAATCTTGTCAGCAATTGTGAGGTGTAGAGTCACTGAAGAAAGCCATTTTTACCTTTATTTTCTGTTTTTGAGCCATATTAATACTTGAGTCTAATGAATGGGGCTGACCAGACCTAGAGGGACTACTTGGGGGCAGGATGCTAAGTAAGCCTCATGAGACTTGGCATGTAATCAGGGTCATGTGGTGAGGCCAATAAGAACCCTGAGCACTGAGACTCAGGTGGAGCTTCCTGCTTGGTGACCATGCATTCCTCATAGGGATATGGAAACTTCGTGCTGTGATCCCTCCTAGACCTCTTTCTATATTGTCTCTTTATATCTTTTTGACTGTAATAAAGTTGTAGCCCTAAGTATGATCTACTCTCCATGACATTCTAAGAATCAATCTAGTAAATTAAGGAAACCACAGGTGCAGTGAGAGCCCAGGGTGGAGGCGGGGTGATAGAGGGTAGAGGGGGTCTGGTGTCTGTCCATTGGACAGTCTAAAAGAAGGTGTCTTTATAACCTGGAAGTTCTGACCTAGTTCTGGGTGGTTGTTGTTGTTGTTAAGTGCTATTGAGTCAATTCCAACTCATAGTGACCCAGTATAGAGTTTTTGAGGAACGACTAGTGCCTTGCAGTCCTATGCTTATCCTACAGAGTCACACCAGAAATCCAGTTTGGGGAAGAGGAAAAAAGTAAAGGGACCAAGAAATGCTGCATGGGCAGCTGGTCTGAAAGATGACCATTCAGCTTGTGAGCTCTGACCAGCTCTGGGGGGCTTGCGTTGGAGAGAAGGTGTGTCATGTGAGTGGCTGGTGAAGATGATGGAGAAATGGAGCAAAGATTGGATTCATGTAGATATATGGGGGGTTGGACTCATACTAATCCTTACCACTCAGCGAGGAAGGTGAGATCTGCCCACTGTGCCCCTTGCTCAAGGAAGCAAAGAATGGAATAATGAAATGCTTACTCCTCTGATTCATGGCTCTTAGTGACCTGAAATAGTTTCTTCTTTTTTGGCTATCTTAATTCTAAGCATAAAACTGTTCGTTGCTGGTGTTTTAGACAACAGGGGCCCATGGTCAGCTTCTGGCATAGAGGGAAGGACCTCAGGAAGACCCCGCTGAGCCTCAGGGTGGGGAGGTAAATTAAGATCCTAAGTTTCCATTTTTACTTTTTTGAATACGCAGTTACTGAATCAGCAAAATGGATATATTCGCTCATGTTGAAACCATTACATTTTGTAAGTAATGAGGTAATTGAACAGTAGCCTCTACCAAAGGTACAAGATGGGAAAGGGTGCGTGTGCATGTGCCTTGTTTGCCATCCCTGAGCCCCTCCCTGCCTTACTCAGGTTAAGAGACTTGCTCATGACCCACTGGTAGCTAATTGCACAGCTGGGACTAGAACCCACGTTTCCTGAATTTAAGTCATTGTTCTTTCTGCTACTAGAGTCTAACTCTGAGAAGAAAATGCCTGAGTCATCCTCCATTAAGTGTTGTGGGACCTTGGCTCTCACTGAGCTTCTTGGCACACACTCTTTCTTAGAGGTTCCTAGGATACTTGGCTCAGTTCTTGGCTGTTCTTCATTAAGGCCATTTAGAGCACTAGACTCAGGGCTTCAGTTATCACTAAGCATTTCATTTGATCTGATCCCCTATTCACAGTTTCATCTGGCTCTAGACAAGGTCATAGAACTAGAGAAAGGCCCGACTTCCAACCAGTTCTGTCATTATGGTCCTAGGTGGCACAGGGTCGTTCAAATGCACCAGTTGCTCTGCAGGAGAAAGATGTGGAAATTTGCTTCTGTAAAGATTCAAACAAACCGACAAACCTAAACTCTATTGCTGTTGAGTCAAATTTCAATTCATAGACACTCAATAGGACAAAGTAGAACTACTTCACAGAGTTTCCAAAGTTGTAATCTTTACAGAAGCACAGTGCCATACCTTCCACCCTCAGAATGACGGGTGGGCCAACCTTATGATTAGCAGCCAAGTGTTTAACCACTGTGCCACCAGGGGTCCTTTCAGTCCAAGACTATAGCCCTGGAAACAGTATAGGACAGTTATACTCTGTCTTGTTGGAGTCCTGGTGTAGCGCTGTGAGTTAATGTGCTGGACTGAAAGTTGGTTTGAACCACAAGGTCGGCAGTTCAAGCTTACCTGTTGCTCCTTAGAAACCCTATACAGGGTTGCTATGGGTTGGAACCAACTCGACAGCACTTAACAACAAGAATAATTCTGTCTTGTTAAGTGCCATTGAATCAATTCCAACTCATAGAAACCTGTATGGATTTCTGAGGAATTCCTGGTGGGTTTGAACCACCAACCATTCAATGAACAATCCAGTGTTTAACCTATAGCACTACACCAGGACACTCCTCTGTCTGACAAGGTCACTATGACTTGGAAAGGACTCGAAGGCTATTTCTTTTGTAAAGTGAATCCTTAGCCTGGAGATTTCTAGCTGAAGAAGGAGGCCTACAGATGGCAGGCAGAGAGAGGGCCTAGATATGCTTGCATTTCTGTGGTAATGGTAATCTCATTTCTTACCAGGACACGAGGATGAAGAGGAAAATAAAGAAAACATTTTCTCAGCTATATCTTTGTTAGTAAAATTTTTCTTATGTTCATCTCACCATTATCCCCAGACCCAGAGCCCCTACTTTTCCCTCTTGCTAGTGCTAAGTGAGTCCTGGTAGTGGGTCCTGGTGTAGAATAAGCACTAGACTGGTAACCACAGGTCAGCAGTTCAAATTTACTATATAGGGTTGCTATGAGTTGGAACCAATGTAACGGCACACAACAACAGTGCTAAGTGAAGGAGCTGCAAGGTCGGTTATAAAACCTAACAGTTGCTCTGAAGGAGAATGATGAAGCTTTCTACTTCAGTAAAGTTACAGCCTATAGTTGCTGTTGTTAACTGCTGTCAAGTTGGTTCTGACTTGTAGTGAACCTGGAGAAGCAACTGGTAAATTTGAACTGTTGACTTTGTGGTTCAAACTGACCTTGCAGTCCAGTACATCATTCCACAGCACCACACCAGGACTCCATTTACAGCCTAGGAAACTCTATATAGGGTCACTATGAGTTGGAATCTACTGAATGTGGAGTTTGAGTGCTAAGCGAACACTTTGTTGTTGTTGTTATGTGCCGGAGAGTCAGTTCTGACTCAAAGCAACCCAATATAGGATTTCTGGGAGCGACCGGTGGGTTTGAATCACCCACCTTGTAGTTAGCAATCCAGTGCTTATCCTACAGTGCCACACCAGGACTCCAAGTGACTACTTCAGTGGAACTTTAAAGAAAGACCCGTGGAGATTTGCTGCATACATTCAGCCATTGACCAAGCTCTGACTTCTGGCTCCCATAGCTTTCCAAGGGTCCCACAGTGTGGATGGGTGGGCCTCTATCTGAGGAATAGAGTGATAGGAGAAGATGGCTAGTCCAGGTGGAGACTGGGCACAGGAGGAAACAGGGAACAGAATGATGAAGCCTTGTCCTGGAGGCCATTAGTCAGGTACCATCAGTAGTGGCATCGTCATGTAGGGGCAAATGAGAGGCATGTCTTCTGTGAAACAAACATAGGGAGATGATTTCCACCTCACAAATAAAGGCTTTCTAAGAGAATAACCCTTCTGGTATGGCACTGTAGGATTAGCATTGGACTGTGAACCCCAAGGTTGGCAGTTGAAACCCACCAGCTGCTCCTCTGAAACCCTATACAGAGTTGTTTTGAATCTGAACCGACTCGACTGCATTTAACAAGAACAACAATAGGAGAATAACTCAGATAGATGAATCTTAACCATGAAGAGCTAAACTGTTAACCCAATGCTGCCGTAATACAAATGCCATTAGTAGGTGGTTTGAAAGAACAGAAATTTATTTTCTCACAGTTCTGTAGGCTGAAAGTACATATTCAGGGTCCTGACCATGGTTATTCCTTCCTTGCAGTTGGTGGTCCTGGCCATTCCTTGGTTCCTTGGCATCCTTTGGCTTGTAGGGATCCTTACATGCTGTCTGCCTTTCCTCCTGTGTCTCTATCCATTCTGCTCTTTTTATAACTCAGAAGTGATTACATTTAGAATCCAGCCTACTCAGGTTGATCTGATAAATATAACAAAACCCTGTTTCCAAAAAATTAAGTTAACAGATAAGAGGGAACTTCAAAATCTTAATTTAAGAGATAATGGCATTTTTCCAGGAACATTTTGAAGCCCCCTTATATAATAAAACCAGTCACAGCCAAGTGGAGACCATGTCATGGTGACCCTATGCATATCCATAGAGTTTTCAGTGGTTGAGTTTTCAGAAGTAGATCACCAGGCCTTTCTTCTGAGGTACTT